TATATTTACCTTCACATGGGTATGAGGGGGGCACACCCATGTGCTTAGCGGGGAGTACAAGATTTTGCCCTTACTTACTATTTCCTTTCCAGGGCAAAATGGACAGGGAGTGCTTTTCTCTATGGAGCCCATTCCAGCACTTTCTCTGGGGGTGGCAAGAAAGGCAATGTGGTAAGACACACGAAAATCAGGAAGACAACAAAGACTTGAACTTTCTAGAGCGCTAAACCCAAAGCTCAGGCTGACAGAGGCAACTTGAAGGCAGGTATTATCTATCTGCTTTCTTTGGGAGAAATTCAGTGTATGTGCAGTAGCATCTAACACACCCAGGCTTGTGGGCTGTGTCTATCCTCTGCCTGGAAAATGCAAGTTCCCGTTACCTTGCATGTGATTTTAGGGGTAAAGGAAATGCTCTGCATGGCACTAATGCACCCACACACACCTGCATACATACACACATTTGTATACACACACACCTGCATACACATACCTGAACACACACACACACACACACACACCTGTATACACACACACCTGCATACACACACCTGCACACACACTCACCTGCATACACACAGTGTCTGATGACTGGAAGTCTACAATTAAAATTATATTCCTTTAAGTATAAACTTTCAGCTATCAGATGAATAAGGTCTGAGGTGGTAAAAACATGGTGATTGTAGTTGATAACGCTGTATTGTATAATTGAAATTGGCTAAGAGGGTAGAACTTAAATGTTCTCACATGCACACAAAAGTTAACTATGAAGGGTGATGGAAGTGTTAATTAAGTAGATGGTGGGAATCCTTTCACAATATATATGAATATCAGGTCACCATGATGTACGTTTTTAATGTCTTACAATTTTATGTCAATTATACCTCAATAAAGCTAAAATAAAACAAAACAAGCAAACAATGACAAAAATAGAATTACATTACTTTAGTCTAAGCCCTGGATTCCCGTTAAGCCACCGAGAACCTTGGGATTTTGGTAGGGCATATTTGGGTGGGAAAAGGCTGGGAAAGAGAATCTAAGGATCTTGGGGTTCCAGAGTGGGCTTTGCAGATGTCTCACCAAGAGGTAGGGTTGAGGTAGACTGTCCAGAACAGAGAGAAAGCAATCTCTGTGTTAGACATCTGTGAAGGGTCTGCTAGCTCTGCATTTTGGATTCCTTTTAAAACTGGAAGCATTATCCTATTTTTAACAATATGTCATAAAAGTTTCAAGAAGTGATCCAACATTTTTCGATGGAGATTCCTGTTCCTCAGAACCTGGGGGAGGGTTGTGCATGGGCTTGGGATGTGGGCAAAGTTTTGTAGGTATGTTTGAGATGCATCTTCTGGAGAGAGACCATAGCTTTCACCAGGATCATGAAGAGGTCCTGAGGAATTGGAGCAGAAGACCTGGCCACATAGTCTGAGCCTCTGGAACAGTCCAAGTTCAGGCTCTGTGACGTTTTCACCAGCTCGCTGGGGCACAGGTATAGGGACATGTCTGTTAGCTCTGGGACGTGCCTGCCCATCCGAGCTGTGGAGGGCCCTCCTGCCATTCCACGAACTCTGCCCTTCAAAGGTCTGCTTGTCTCTTTTGGGCTTACAAAATAAAAATTGTTTTTTTTCTGACCATAAAAGTAGACACTTAGAAAATGTAGAAAAATGTAGTGAAGAAAATAAAAATCCATCATAATCTTACTAATGGATTAATCATTGTAAACATTTTGAGATAGCCCCATCCAGGTTTTTTCCTTTTGTCTTTATAAGAGAGAGTTGAGATCATAGTATGTCTATGAATGGAACCCTTTTCACTTAACATTACATCATAATCATCTTGCCTGCCATTTAAAAGTCTTTATAAGCATCATCTTCAGTGGCTGCACAATATTCCATTGTATGGCTGTACTACAGTGTACTTAACTCTTCTTCTAGCGTTGGGCATTTGCATTGTTCCCGGCTTTTTACTTTAATAAATAATGCATGAGAAGCATCTCTGGCAAGAAGCTGTGCTTACATTTTGGATTATTTCTTTATGATAGATTCTCTTTTGACTTTTGATGATACTGTATGTCAAGGTGTTGCTGAGACCTATCTATAAAGTGTGGACATCGCAAAAGACTGTGGGCAGAGAGGTGGGGCTAAACATCACTGGATTCCTGCAAAACGCACGCCTTGCCTCTAGGTGCTGTGGGCTCAGTGGAAGACCCCGCCGTTGTCCTTGAGGAACTTACTGTGCAGTGTGAGCCCACAGCATACATAAGTAGCCTAAAGGAAGAGATGCCTGTATCTCAGAACCGTGGGGGAGCCATGCCTGAGTTCAGAATGGGGCAGAGGTCTGCATGTATGTTCATATTGCATTTTCTGGAGAGGGAGTCTAACTTTCATCAAAATCTTTTCATCTAGAGAGCTGCAAAGAATTAACCATCCAATGATCGTTGGC